GATCTATATGTAAAACATAGGAGGACATTACTGTAGAATACTTTATTTTCGCTGAAGGAATGATTCAGCGAAAATATAATCCAGCGAATATACCCTTTTTTTCTATAATTTACATTAAACTTGTCGAAAATCAGTAAAAATAAACTCCATACAAAACACCAAAAGAAGTCTATTCAGTGAAAATTAAATCCATCTAAAATAAAGTATTTTACAGTAATGCATATATTAGAAGCATAACTTGTCAGTAGTTTTTTTTTTCATAATAATAAACATGCACACCGTTTCCTTGTGGCTATGGGATGCAACGTCGCCTACATTAGCGTTGCGCCGTCACCATTTCTAGAACGTCCTGGAAGTTTAGAGGTTCTATCGGGTGCTCTCGTTGCGGACTACCGATCACTTTGATAATGATTGCACACGTGCCAACTAATTTGTTATCACCGATCATAAGTGGGATGTGGCAAAATGTGCACGTTACCCAAGTACACATCCCACCTGAAATTGAACACCTAACACGGGTCGAACCCTCTACCCTGGATAAGTACGCCATAGACTCAATATATAGGAAAAATCCCGTGACCAGAGTCACTAGCCGAGAGCCATTCTTCCATTTAATTTGATTTAGTGTTTGATCGGGTCGCAATGCCGCAGGATAATGCATTGGCATACTGTCATAGAACCAAAAGCAACGATACGAAGAACAGATACTGAAAATCGAATGTATTAGCTAAAGCGCGGTAGTCGTCGCGCTGCGCATGTGCCACATTTGTGTTGATAAACATTGATTTTTCCACGCGCTCTACAAATGGAAATCACATGTATGAGGTTTGACCTGGGCGGGACTTGCACTGATTATCACCGGTGACTCCTTCGATACCTTTAAATAACATGAAAATTACTTAATTAAATCTTGGAAACGTCTCAGTTCGTACTCGTTGATCTGCGCAACAGTCAAAGTCGCCATCTTTGTTTATATGAGACCCATATCTCGCGCATGCGCTGCGCGACGACTACCGCGCTTTAAATGAACTAAACCATAACAAAATGCCGAATTAGTATTCGAGATTGTTTTCAGTTATCGCAACAAATTGCTATAAGATATGACAAGGCTCGGGATGGTATGCAAATTAGCATGATTAGTATGCACAGATGCACTCAACATGTTGCACATTGACACGGAGCGAACGTAATACGCGCGTAACTGGTTAAAGCGTGAGAGTCGTCACCTGCGCATGCTTCAAGAGGCCATAGCGTGTTATTGTTTACAAACAAGCGTCTACCCATGAGCCTTTGTGTTATTAGCGTATGTTGTTGGGACTCAATTCCAGCGCATGCGCAGGTGACGACCCTCCCCGCTTTAAGGCATCCCGCTTTAAGGCCTGTGACTAATTTTAAATTGGTGAATGAGTACAGATGACGCTCTGTGGCGGTTTCTAACCTATGAGTAATTGAAAAAAAACGCGAAAGGCGTAATTTAACTTTTTATGCGTCAGGGGTGTTGGTGGTGATGCACTCTACATTGTACCGTGTGACGGGGAATGATATATTTGTGGAAGGGGGTACATGGCGTCAAGTGGCCCACAGGTAAAACACCGAGTTGATGTACGGTTGTGGTGACAATAACTGAGAAATCATTTCTCGAATTTGGATCTAGGATGCTATGACAGGTGTTGAGCTGCGGTGAATCACCTATAACACTAAATCGAACGGAGGTGATTCACGGTACTAGTATAACACTAGGGTCGCGTAAATTGTGATGGGGTTATAGGGAACAAGGATATGACATCATATTTCGTGGGATCGTTTCTCATCTTCGACTTCACCGTGAACACAGCCTTTCATCACAGAATGTTTTCACTGACTTCGAGATATTTTACGGTTTTAATTAAATCACTGTTATATCTGTACAACTGAGTACCGCAATTGGACGCCTGTCGGTATCTCTCTGTCGTCAAATAAACAAAATAATAAATAAACAAACATATTAAAAAGTAATATATCGTCTAAGCTTATTTCTCCGAAACGACATCGAAAGCTTAATTGATCTCTGATGCACGCCGAACTGCCGGCCATGGTAAAAGCTGGCAGTATTCAGTGACGGAATCGACAAGGCGGTTATAACCACAATAATAGTACATTATATCGCATGTAAAGTAGGAATACGTTTTTCCAGCCTGGTACAACCACAATTTTTTTAGTAACGTCATCGCGGTATGAGTTCCAAATTAAGACCAAACTATTTATACATTTACGGTTTTGTTGAGTGGTAACTACAACAATTAAAACTACCGTACTGCTGTGTGACATACACACTAGCGTGGACCTTGAAATGTACCCCCCCCCCCCGTGACCTCGCTACTACCTGTAAAATCCAGTGAGCTACTTTAATATAGACATATCTTGCTTCCTTGAGTTCGTAGAAATACTGGTATTATTGATCCCCTATTTCCGTCTTTGTACTCAGATTTCATCATCCAACTTTAATAATCATTCGAATTAATAATATTTGAAAATAATACATACATTTAATGTGTAATATCAACACCTTTTCTAGTTTTTTTTTATATAAATATTTATGAATTTCACTAATCAAAATTAAATAGGTTTCTTTAGGATATGTTTTTTTTTTTTGGACGATCATGATGGAATTACTTTAGCAACATGTTCAGATGACATGATGTACACTTGACCCGGCTGGTTGTGTTCAACTGCCGTCACTGAACGCAAACGACATGGCGGAGCCTATAGAATGTGATCGCTGGCATTTAGCGCCACTACGTATACCCTAAACAAGCGAGAGTTACTCGTCGTTCGATGCGATCGTACAGTCTTTGTGTAAACTTTTGCAGTAACGTTTGAAAGTATAAAAAGTACATCTATTGTTATTACTATTATTATCATCGACTTCTTTCAAATGCAAATTTTCATAAATAATAAAAAAAAGTTGGGCAGCAATTAACTTAATGAGAAATACAGATCCAATTAACGCGAGAGCTGGCAATGGCTTCCGTCATCCGTATCGTTCAAATGCAATTACTTGACGGAATCCAAAATAGTCGTGTATTTTTGGCAAAGATTTATGCGTATCAGCTGGTATTAGTTAATTGGATCACGTGACTCTACTGTGTGATAATTGTCAACCAAGGACTTCACCGTTCTCATATGACACCCTAAGTCATGTGTAATTAATTGGATACCGCATCGGTTCATCATATACTCGCAGTGATATTGATAGTGGTACTGCATTACTTTTGTGATTATGCCGCTAGCTGCATATTTCCAACAATTGTCGTCGAGTGTTTGTTGTAAATGAATATTTTGTCTTCCATGTGGAATGCGTCTACTGGATTTATATTATGCTATTATTTTGATATTTTCCGCTGAAATTTTACGTGACAAACAACCCGAACCAAGGTCATCGCATTTTTGACGCGGCCTTTATTATTGCACAATGTGTTTAGCAAAGTAACTTGTAATTTGTAAAAAAAAAAAAAAAAAAAAAACTCACTGACCACCGTGGACATCATAGGAACTTTTCTGTACAGCTCATGATGAATTTTATCTAATCATAAAATTCTGAAATCAAATTTAGAAGTATACTCTGAAATAAGTGCAACTGGGTTTGAGTGATGTTGTATCGGGATTACACATCACGATCTGCAATGCAGACTGGATTCAGTGCTCCAATATTTAGGGGATTGAAGCCATAACAACTGATTTCATCACTTTCTTTCAATAACCAGTGGGAGTTATTCTGCGTATAATACAAAACGGAAATGCAACTTTAAACTACACACAAAAAAATGCCAAGACCTCAACAAAAATGCATCAGAGGTCTAATTCATATTACCCAAATTATGAGCGGGTGTCTAAAATTAAGCAATAGATGGGGTGCCAGTTCCGATCCCACGCTTCGGAAGTATGCATAATTCTGCAATTATTAAATTAACATTATAATATTGATTTATTTCAATTTGTTAAAGTAATTCCATAAATTTAAAGTGATCAATAATAAGGCCCCTCTCTCCATAGTACGTTTCCAGTACCAGTGCATAGGTATTATATTATAACGCCTCCAACACGAGATGCTCACAAATAGTGCACCTTATCTGCGATAGGTTTGTTCACGTGGAGCATCAACATTCCAATTCAAGGTGTGACCATCATACACTGGTGTGCGTGTTCACCTATTCGTCACACCGAGTAAATGAAAACACGGAACGTTCCCGTGATTTGCCAGGAATGTCGATTGATATTAAATTACACCCTTATGTCGACAGATAAACACAGTTAATGGGGCCGCAATACTTTCCGATTATCGCCTACAAGGGCCGTATTTCTTCGTGTCCCGCGAGTGGCAGCAATGGACAGCCACGTCAAACATATGAGCGCACGCAATTCAAGTACATTTGCGGTTTTGTTGATATCTGTTTGTTTGTTTTTTCGTTATTATTTTTTTTTTGACGAAAGACAAAATAGAATCACGGGATCACATAGGCGGTGACTTGCAAACAGACTCTGATTTTTACTTTTTGGTGTTTTTTTAATAAAATGAATTAAAATATTATGAAAGTGTATAGATAGCGAAAGGTGGGTTACTGTTTATTTCACTGCAACCCAACTTTCACCATTTATACACTCCCATAATATTATATTTTATTGAAAAAACAAAACAAAAAATATACAAGAGACTATATGTAAATCTAAGCGCGAGTTTCCAGTTCAGCGTACATCTTCAAATTATTTTAATATTGTTGTTTCAAGTAGCAGTTGCGACACTGTTGTCCCCGGACATTTGTCGCATAAACCATATGCATGATGTTTGTTGTGGGATGGCAAAGCTGTGCGGCTACCTCTATGTCAAATGTCAGTTGAATGCACTATATATCCCGGCGTTTACTAGTCCCACTCGAACACAGGCACCTGTGGATCTTAAACAAAGTTCCCACCGTGATTCCTAAGTGATTGAATCTCCTTTAGTATTGTTGGCCTGTGAGTCCATGGGACATTCGCCCTGGGTAGGTGTAAGACTTAGCTTCAGTTCAAGCACCGAGTAAGTCCACTACGCTACCGATTGTGGACGATTTTCTCGCTTAGTTCCAACCACAATCGTATTGAAACTTTTTTACCTGCAACTAAACACTACTTAATTAATTATATTACTGAATATATACATATATATATATTCAGACCGGTTAGGATTGTTTCAGTTAATGTTAATGACTACCTGACACCCTTAAAAGTTGACCTGCCATTGCTGCGTTGGGTCGCTGTGACCTATCGATTTTGGGATAGTGTGAACTCTAATTGGCTTTGCCATGACCTTGATCAGTATGCTCCTCGGCAACAAGATGGAGATCTGTAAACACACACTACAGATATCAGCAATTTGTGATAACACTCATCAAGATGGGGAGGTGTTTCATAATAAACTTGGTAAATGATCAAATAAAAGAGATATCACAGTCAACTCGGTTTGAACTATTTTGACTCATTTTTTGACCATGGAACGATCCTCGACAATAAAGCAATAAATCACGTGTGGTTGGGACGGGTGTCCGTATAACGCCCAGGGTAACTACTGCCAGTGATTATTCAGACTCAAATTCCCACATTCAGAGTCGGTGAGGCCAACTTACCCCCCCCCCCCCGCCAATAAGTATTCACACACATCCACACAGTGGTGGTAAGGCCAATATAGACCCAGTTTTTATTCAGACCCATATATCCACACCCAGTGGCGATAAGGCCAATTTATACCCAGTGTTTATTCAGACCCATATATCCACACCAAGTGGCGATAAGGCCAATTTATACCCAGTGTTTATTCAGACCCATATATCCACACCAAGTGGCGGTAAGGCCAATATAGACTTAGTGTTTATTCAGACCAATATATCCACACCAAGTGGCGGTAAGGCCAATATAGACCCAGTGTTTATTCAGACCAATATATCCACACCAAGTGGAGGTAAGGCCAATATAGACCCAGTGTTTATTCAGACCCAAATATTCACACCCAGTGGCGATAAGGCGAATTTATACCCAGTGTATATTCAGACCAATATATCCACACCCAGTGGTGGTAAGGCCAAGTTATACCCAGTATATATTCAGACCAATATATCCACACCAAGTGGTGGGAAGGCCAATATAGACCCAGTGTTTATTAAGACCAATATATTTACATCCAGTGGCGGTAAGGCCAATATAGACCCAGTGTATATTCAGACCAATATATCCACACCAAGTGGTGGGAAGGCCAATATAGACCCAGTATTTATTCAGACCAATATATCCACACCAAGTGGTGATAAGGCCAATATAGACCCAGTGTGTATTCAGACCCAAATATCCACACCCAGTGACGATAAGGCGAATTTATACCCAGTGTATATTCAGACCAATATATCCACACTCAGTGGCGGTAAGGCCAATATAGACCCAGTGTTTATTCAGACCAATATATCCACACCAAGTGGCGGTAAGGCCAATATATACCCAATATTTATTCAGACCAATATATCCACACCAAGTGGGGGGTAAGGCCAATATAGACCCAGTATTTATTCAGACCAATATATCCACACCAAGTGGTGGTAAGGCCAATATAGACCCGGTATTTATTCAGACCAATATATCCACACCAAGTGGGGGGTAAGGCCAATATAGACCCAGTATTTATTCAGACCAATATATCCACACCCAGTGGCGGTAAGGCCAATATAGACCCAGTGTTTATTCAGACCAATATATCCACACCAAGTGGCGGTAAGGCCAATATAGACCCAGTATTTATTCAGACCAATATATCCACACCAAGTGGTGGTAAGGCCAATAAAGACCCAGTGTTTATTCAGACCAATATATCTACACCCAATGGCGGTAACGCCAATTTATACCCAGTGTATATTCAGACCAATATATCTACACCCAATGGCAGTAAGGCCAATTTACACCCAGTGTATATCCAGACCAATATATCTACACCCAATGGCGGTAAGGCCAATTTATACCCAGTGTATATTCAGACCAATATATCTACACCCAATGGCGGTAAGGCCAATTTATACCCAGTGTATATTCAGACCAATATATCTACACCCAATGGCGGTAAGGCCAATTTATACCCAGTGTATATTCAGACCAATATATCTACACCCAATGGCGGTAAGGCAAATTTATACCTAGTGTTATTCAGACTAATATTTCTACACCCAATGGCGGTAAGGCCAATTTATACCCAGTGTATATTCAGACCAATATATCTACACCCAATGGCGGTAAGGCCAATTTATCCCGATTGTATACTCAGACCAATATATCTACACCCAATGGCGGTAAGGCCAATTTATACCCAGTGTATATTCAGACCCATATATCCACATCCAGTGGTGGTAAGGCCAATATAGACCCAGTGTTTATTCAGACCCATATATCCACAACCAGTGTGTTAAGGCCAATATAGACCCATTGTTTTTCAGACCAATATATTCGCATCCAGTGGTGGTAAGGCCAATATAGACCCAGTGTTTCTCAGACCCAAATATTCACACCCAGTGGCGATAAGGCCAATTTATACCCAGTGTATATTTATACCCATATATTCACACTCAGTGGTGGTAAGGCCAATGCATACCCAGTGTATATTCAGATCAATATATCCACCAAGTGTTGGTAAGGCCAATATAGACCAACTGTTTACTCAGATCCAAATATTCACACCCAGTGGCGATAAGGCCAATTCATACCCAGTGTATATTCAGATCAATATATCCACACCCAATGGCGGTAAGGCCAATTCATACCCAGTGTATATTCAGATCAATATATCTACACCCAATGGCGGTAAGGCCAATTTATACCCAGTGTATATTCAAACCCATATATCTACACCCAGTGAAGGTAAAGCCAATTTATACCCAGTATATATTCAAACTCATATATCTACACCCAGTGAAGGTGGATTGATACCCATTGCATGCTCAGACCCATTTATCCACGTTCAATGGTAGCGAGGCTAGACGAATCAAAATTACGTTTTTCAAAAAACGTTATGATAACACAATATGTCAACACCCAGTGGTGGTAAGGCCAATTTATATCCAGTGTATATTCAGACCAATATGTCCACACCCAGTGGTGGTAAGTCCAATTTATACCCAGTGTATATTCAGACCAATATATCCACACCCAGTGGTGGTATGGCCAATTTATACCCAGTGTATATTCAGACCAATATATCTACACCCAATGGCGGTAAGGCCAATTTATACCCAGTGTATATTCAGACCAATATATCCACACCCAATGGCGGTAAGGCCAATTTATACCCAGTGTATATTCAGACCAATATATTCACACCCAATGACGGTAAGGCCAATATATACCCAGTGTATATTCAGACCAATATATCCACACCCAATGGCGGTAAGGCCAATATATACCCAGTGTATATTCAGACCAATATATCTACACCTAATGAAGGTAAAGCCAATTTATACCCAGTGTATATTCAAACCCATATATCTACACCCAGTGAAGGTGGATTGATACCCATTGCATGCGCAGACCCATTTATCCACGTTCAATGGTAGCGAGGCTAGACGAATCAAAATTACGTTTTTCAAAAACGTTATGATAACACAATATGTCAACACCCAGTGGTGGTAAGGCCAATTTATACCCAGTGTATATTCAGACCAATATATCCACACCCAATGGCAGTAAGGCCAATTTATACCCAGTGTATATTCAGACCAATATATCCACACCCAATGGCGGTAAGGCCAATATATACCCAGTGTATATTCAAACCCATATATCTACACCCAATGGCGGTAAGGCCAATTTATACCCAGTGTATATTCAAACCCATATATCTACACCCAGTAAAGGTAAAGCCAATTTATACCCAGTGTATATTCAAACCCATATATCTACACCCAATGGCGATAAGGTCATTTTATACCCAGTGTATATTCAGACCAATATATCTACACCCAGTGGTGGTAAGGCCAATTTATACCCAGTGTATATTCAAACCCATATATCTACACCCAATGGCGGTAAGGCCAATTTATACCCAGTGTATATTCAGACCAATATATCCACACCCAGTGGTGGTAAGTCCAATTTATACCCAGTGTATATTCAGACCAATATATCTACACCCAATGGCGGTAAGGCCAATTTATACCCAGTGTCTATTCAGACCAATATATCTACACCCAGTGGTGGTAAGGCCAATTTATACCCAGTGTATATTCAGACCAATATATCTACACTCAATGGCGGTAAGGCCAATTTATACCCAGTGTTTATTTATACCCATATATTCACACCCAGTGGTGGTAAGGCCATTTTATACCCAGTGTATATTCAGACCAATATATCTACACCCAGTGGTGGTAAGGCCAATTTATACCCAGTGTATATTCAAACCACATATATCTACACCCAATGGCGGTAAGGCCAATTTATACCCAGTGTATATTCAGACCAATATATCTACACCCAGTGGTGGTAAGTCCAATTCATGCCCAGTGTATATTCAATCCAATATATCCACACCCAATGGCGGTAAGGCCAATATATACCCAGTGTATATTCAAACCCATATATCTACACCCAGTGAAGGTGGATTGATACCCATTGCATGCTCAGACCCATATATCCACGTTCAATGATAGCGAGGCTAGACGGATCAAAATTACGTTTTTCAAAAACGTTATGATACTTTATAATTTTATAACATTATTAAATCATGCATTTATAAAGTCAACAACAAATAACAGCATTGTTGTTGTTCACAAAATTATTCAAATAACAAAATTAAAAATCAAGTTTTTATTTTTTTCTCAAAATGTTGTTACATCGTAAATTTATAACGTTAATATACTGTTATTATAACAATGAAATAATATATTATTTCAATTTATTTTAGTTCGGAAAATGGCAAGTCGTTACAAAACGTCAATATAATAGTTTTGAGAAAAATATATATATTATATAAAAATATATATATATATCCCGAGTGTATATATATTTATTCAGATTGTTTTTATGCCATCTCAAAACTTAGTCGCATAATAAAACTTGTAAACGTCATACTAGTGATGTTTTTTTTTTTAAAAAACACGTATTTTCACCATAACAAACATTAACGGTATAATTACGTAACTTAATTACATCATTATAGCGTTTCTTTTGGTAACGTTTTTAATCAGCAGCTGTGTATTTGTAACTCAAAGTTACGTTTTTTGTTTTTTTTTGTTCTGCCAAGCAATAGTTCGCAAAATATCATTTGGCAATACACTCGGACAAAATAATAGTCAAACAGGTGCCTGAAAAACTAATCCAAACTTAGAGATGTTACCGCGGCAATCATTATTTCAATAATGTAAAATAGATGGACAACAACAAATATTGACAGCTATCTTAATTACTTCAAATGAGTCAGATACAATTGAAATCCACGTACTAGTTAATCCGCATCTAATCATGGTATTATCACTTTGGGGCCAAATTACCATATTCGCTCATCCGTTAAAATTACTGTGAGAACGCTCCATGTTGCGGGTCTTGTATTGTTTACTGCAATATTATTACAAAGAGAATCGTGGGAAAGTGGCATGGACGGTTTTGTAATTGGTTATTTAAGTGTGTCCCGGGACAGGATAATTAAACCAGCACGCGTGCTATGCGGCGGGTGAACTATCTGCTTCACGATTCGGGCATCACACACACGTTTAATAGATCCGACTTTTCAAGTTCTGTGTTCGAAAAAAAAAAATAATGAAAATTGAAAATATTGATATGCAGTGTATATATTTTTTTATTTTATTTTTTTAAGTGACGTCATGAAAGTGTTGCTCAACACGATGCGATTTAGTCCTATTCTTCGGAATAATTTGTTGATTATCGAAGTTGAACATCGGCATAATAATATTAAAATGACCCGCACCAGTAGTACTACATCAAAATTCATATTTTTATTGTCCATGTTCAAATATTTAGATAACCTCGTTTAATTTGTCGTGTTTCATCACGTGATGCGAAAATCGATACTGCAGATGTTCCACGCACTAATTACACAGGATTCTGGTTTTAAGACACGATTATCATCGTCCTCGCAAGCCACGTGCAGGGATGAGCCACATGGCGGAGTTTACATAGATATAATGGCTTAATGACCTCAAACATCAGGTTATTATTTTCCCACGTTATTGTTTTCCCAGGTTATTATTCTACTGGTTGTGGAAACATGCAACCGACAAGCCAATGTTCGAACAACTGGTCGGGCAGTGGCGGATCTGGCGATTCATATCATCTGGATTACGCATAGCTTCTCTGCGATTTACGCTCCGTATATCTTAAACGAAGCTTCCCCCCCCCCAATACATTTTGCTGGACCCTACACCTTGGTCGGCAGTGGGGGGGGGGGGCATGCAACTTACCACAAATGGATAATTAAGAAGGCTGGTTTGTTGTCAAGTTTGTTTAAAGGTTGGCCTTGTTCAAGTTGTATTGTAAACGATAAGTACGTGGATCAATACAATGAATACGTGATTGCAGCTTATAACGAAGCCCTGACACGCCGCGCACAGTCGGGACCCATCGCTGAGGTTTCGACCTAAACCGGGAATTATTCTTAGACGACCTCGAATCACGGGGGCAGGATAAAGCTGGGCTCCGTGCAGAAAACAGTTAGATACTCCCGACCTCAGAATAAAAAACAAACAAAAAACGGATACCTTATTTGACATTTTGTTTAATTATTCACAGTATTAATATATTCGTTATTTTTGGCGTGAGTGTTGTTACTGTGTAGCATTGGAAACCAGTGTGTTCGACACGTGGTACATCGATCACGACGCGGCGTTGAATGTACTTATCTTACCCTATTTGCGGGTATTTACAACTATCCAAGTATCCCGCCGGGTATATTCTCTGATTTTCCATCTATTTTTTTTTTAAATACTACTAAGTCTTGTACATTGGTCAAAAAATCGAACGAATTTCTACTTCAAGAACTTGAATAATATGATTGTCTGTTTTCCGCCAGCAGTTGGTCGAAACGGGTACCGTGCTATATATACTGCATACAGCAAATGTGAAATACTACATGGAATTTGAAACGCGCACTGCATGGCAACTGCGACGCGATGCACGACGTATGTTGCGATATAGATATCGAAAACTCGTGATCACGTATTTTCTAAAT